CAGCACCGGTCCTCGGTGAAGGAAGAGTGCCCTCTAGCGGGCTTCGGCTGGAGCTGCCCGGGATCCGCGTCGTTCAGGCAAGGACAAAAAACCAGCCCACAGCCCTCCTGCCAATGATCTTGAATATGCCTTTGGGTTTGGTTTGTTTTTCTCCTTCTCTGAAGAAAAATAAAGGAAGAAGAAACAGCAGGAGACCAGTTGTGAGAGCAGCTCCAACAGGGTTGTGACAGTCTCCTTGAATCAACCCCCCTCTCCCCGCCCCCAGCCAGCCAGGCAGCAAGGTATATGCGACATCAGATGCTTTTCCAAGGGCTGTGACAGTTTCTACATAAATCACTCACCTGCCTTGACGGGCCTCATGCACGGGGGGGTAGATGGCTGAGAAAGAGACTGACTCCTCCTTTGACAGTGATCACCAAAGGGTTAAGGACCTCATTGGGCAAGCCCTCTGGATAGCAAGCCCACTGCGGCTGATGACATTTTCTGGCAGCGGACGTGTCCAGCCCTGACTCCTGACTGCTAAACCTGGTGCACACGGGCATAAACAGGGGACTTGGCCCTTTAAAACCTGGTTCAGTGAAAGCTGCTGGACTGGGGAGCCCGGGGGGGGGGGGGGGGGGGAGCGCGTGGGGCGCCCGTCAGGGAGGCAGAAACCTGATCATATGTGATGGTTGCTGGATTAGGTAACAGCTCCTCTGGTGGAAATTGGATCTTGGAGGATGAGTGTTAACATCTCTGGTGTCCTGGCGAAAGGTTCATTTGAGTCTTGCATGGTGCCACAGAGATAAAAAGGGGCTTTTAAATAATCATTTTGTCTCCTACACACCAGGGTGCTGGCTTCAAGCAGTAAATAGGTAGCATCAGTTCTACTTAGACATATTGCCCTTTCCATTTATTTATTTAATGTTGGAGGGCTTTTTTTTTTTTTTTTTTTGTAGCCGACTCGCTGAACAGTTTCCGTATCCATGATTCCCAACACCCGTTTTTTTTATAATGGTTCATGCGGATTCTCCTTCTGGGTAGAAATAAAGTGCAGGCAGTATATGGGTCCACCCATGCCTCATGCAAGTGCACAGACACAGCCCAAGACCCTCAGAACCAGAATCTTCTATGTGACGTAGAAGATGAAAATGTTCTCTTTTATACTATTTGTATTGTTCCTGTATATATACACGCGCTACATATATATACACATCTATCCTGTATATATAAATGTTATATATGTACATATTATATATACACATTACACATGTGTGTTTACATATGTTATATATGTATGTATATGCACACATATACACACATATATGATATATGCACATACTATATGTGTACACACTATGTACATGTTATATATACACATATACACACTATGTATGTACACATGATATATATGTGTGTTTATATATTATATATAGCAGGGGATTCTGACACATACTCTGAATTTTTTTCTTTTTACAATGATTTTAGTATGATTTAAAGATTTTTATTTATTTATTTGACAGACAGAGATCACAAGCAGGCAGAGAGGCAGTCAGAGAGAGGAAGGGAAGCAGGCTTCCTGCTGAGCAGAGAGCCCAATGCGGGGCTCCATCCCAGGACCCTGAGATCATGACCTGAGCTGAAGGCAGAGGCTTTAACCCACTGAGCCACCCAGGTGCCCCTGATTTCAGTATAATTTAAAGACTGTAATTTGAAGAGGACTTCTTCCCCACCCACCCACCCCCACCCCCACCCCTGCCTTTACATTCTTCTCTTTTCATCAGATCTCTAGTTTGGGACCTATTTCTATGCCCTGAACTCCGAGTATAAATGCAAGCGTTTTATACGTTAAGGTGTGTCGTACTCTATCATACCGGTTTCTTACTGGCCACATTTGGAAACCAATTTTATTAAATCTAATTAAATCCAAATTTCTTTTTAAAGAGTATTTGTTTACAGGATTTAAAAATGATATAAAAGCTAAGTGGAGTGCTAACACTTGCACTATTTTTTTCTTCATAACTAAATGTGCCCTTTAACATGTGGGTGGGGGGAAAACAGTCCGTGTAGGGAATGTTTTGTGCTCTCTGACTGTCCTAAACTTTCCTGGGGGGTGAGGGACCCGCAGCATAACTTTTAGCATTCTTTGCTAGTCTTGGCAATTTTCTTTTCTTATTTTATTCGAAACCAGTTAGATTTCAAGCCCCGCAAAATGTTAATGAGATAGGTGTGCAGAGTTGGCGTGGGTGGTCTGTGCATCCCACTGATGGTTGGAAAGAAAAGGTGGAGGGGAGGGGTAGGTGAAGCTCTGTGGGTCTGCAACGGGGAACGTATTCTCGGAAGGAAATGCCCATGGTTACCAGCACAGCGCCTGGAGGGAACTGGGCCAGCACTGTGGTCTGTGGGTGCCTATCTCTGCTTCTCCTACTTCTCTCAGAATGAATGGATCGTAGGCTGGCTCTGGGGGAATGACTGCTCTCTTTCTCTCTTTGCTACCTTCATTGGGAGCAGAAATTATTATAAGATGTTTCATGTGCACAAAGGCTTGGTTATGGAAGGACCAGGAGGATGTGCTTGGAGGCATTTCCACTGGCTCAGCATGGTGGGGAGGTGGCAGTTAACTGTCAGCTTTGGGGGTCTGCTCCCCTAGAGTGTTCAGCACCTTGTGGAGGATATGAAACACGAGATTCGGTAGAGCAGATTAGAGAGTAGAATTTTGCACAGTTTATTTAATGACCAAGCTAAAGTGGAATAATTACATTTGTTTATGAAGAATAGCCCGGAGGTGAATCTTTGAAATGACCCCTAAATGTTTTTGTTGATAAAGCGATTAAAATTCACTAAATAAAATTCAGTGAAGAAACACCCAGAAGACCCCACACACGAATGTCGGTTGTCACCCATAGAGGTGAGGAAGGAGGAGCTTCTGGGCTCCACTGCCAGGTGCTCGGGTGGTCCCATTATTTTCTGCACCTTTAGGGACTGGAAAGTTCTCTGATTCAGGAAATGGGTAGAGCATTGAATTATTTTCTTTAGGGAACCTCTGTGAGTGGTGATAGGCTCTTCAGAGGACTTTGGAGGTTTGGGTAAATGAATTCAAGGCACAGAATAACATGACTAAATGTTACCCAAACCCTGTCCAAGGGGCAACGTCTCAGTTCGTCTCCTGAAAGGATTTCGCTGGAAGGATGTCCCCAACACAAACCTCCACAAGGCTATCACCGATACGCGATTTTATTCCAAGCGGGCAGAAAATTCAGGACTCAGGTGTGAGAGGAGAGGAGTCTGAATCCAGAGGCATTCCGTGTTTGTGTACAGGTGTGGGCTTCCTTCTTTCCTCCCTGGCTGGCCACCTTCCCCCCACCCTCCCTGCATCCCTCCCCATCCTCACTTCACTGCTTTTCTCCTGGTGCCTTTCATCTCTGCCCCTCACCGCCACTCCTGGGCCACATGGCTCCCGGGCCGCTTGACTGTCTGCTGTTTCATGAAAGCCATTTGCAAGGTCCCCCACAGCACAGGAATTGGGATTTCCTTCTGAACAACACTCAAGGTTGGTTCTTGTCTTGCCTGATGGAAGCCAGGAGCATGTGGTTCTGCTGGCATTGTACGTGATGGGATGCCCCGAACATCTCGGCCTCCCTCGTCTCAAGCTCATAGTCACGCCCACGTGGGGCTGTCCTGCGAGGGCTCAGGAGACAGCTAGAATGGGCAGCACCTCCTGGGGCTCCCCAGATGCACCCCACCTGGAAATAGCTCTTGATTCTCCGATTGTTCAGGTGCTCCCTGCCGTCCCCGTCCCTGTCCATGGCTCCTCCCCTGCCTGGAATCACTTCCCTCCTTTCTCCTACCTTACCCCAAATTTTTTTCAATTTTTTTTTTTAATTGGAAATTCTTCTCATGTTCCCTCTCAACAAAGACTTGGCTGCTGACAGCTAAACTGGGTTTAGATGAGTGATTTATTTTATAGCAGGTTGTATGACGGTAGTAAAAAGAGACTGCCTAGCCCTTCTGCTGATTTTACTAAAACACTTGATCTCTTTCCATCCCGGCCCCCCTCCCCCAACCCAGATGGCCATGGGGTTTTAATAAAAAGCAGCCATATCGTTGATCGAAGTCTCCATCCTACATGATTTCTCTCAATACCTGAAATAGCTTGTCCACTGCCCCCTCACCCCCCATTTCCAATAGGATGGTTGTCACCCGGAATGAAGAGATCTCAGTGTCCAGAGGAAAACATCCCCACTTGATGGCCAGTCTGTCTTCCTGCTCTTTTATTTGCTTATTTTGTTTTATTTTTTCTTGAAGAATAACTGACATATAATAGATCTTCTTGCTGTTTTCAACTTCTCTACTCTGTGTGCTGGTCTAGGAGAAAGGTCTCAAGATTCCGGTCCAAACAACTGGGTTCACGTGGCGTAGGTCATTTTGGAATTGAAAACTTGGGCCAATCAAGTAGTACAAAGTCAACAAGTGTAAAACCACAAATTCACAGAAATCTAAAATTAGAAACAAAGAAGGAAATGTCTTGCCTTGAATTAAAAATTTGGCAGTTTGGGGATGAATGCGAAAATTCTTTTCTGCTGTATTAATTTTTTGCACCTTTGAAATTTCTTGTGGTAATACTTGCATAATACGAGTTATCATTTAGCCTGATTTTCATGTCTAGGGTATAGTTCAATGACATTAAATGTACTCACCACCCCTCTTGCCTACGGGAAACTGTCCCCGTGAAACACTGACTCCTAGCCCCCGCTCCCCTCCCCTGTCTGCCTCCAGGAATTGGGCCATTCTGGGTAGCTGTCCTAAGTGGAGCATCGTGCACTTCTGGAACCAAGCCAGCCTCTCTTTGCCTTCTCTCCCCCTCCCGGTCCCCCTGGCCCGGCCCTTCGCCCCTTGTACACCTCCCACGTGGCGAGCCCTTTGGTCGTTTGCTGCGCCAGTGACACGACATTGCTTTTTGTTTGCTTCACGTGCTCATGTGGGTTACCATTAACCCTCCCCTCCTCTGTGTCCCCCTGCAGTCTTGAGTATCCGGGGAGCCCAGGAGGAGGAGCCGACAGACCCCCAGCTGATGCGACTGGACAACATGCTGCTGGCGGAGGGGGTGGCAGGCCCCGAGAAGGGCGGTGGCTCGGCGGCGGCGGCAGCGGCGGCGGCAGCTTCGGGGGGCGCGGGCTCGGACAACTCAGTGGAGCACTCCGACTACAGAGCCAAGCTGTCCCAGATCAGACAGATCTACCACACGGAGCTGGAGAAGTACGAGCAGGTAACCGCGGCCATGGGGTGTCGGGCACCCCGGCCCTTTAGGAAGGAGGCCGAAGAGCCATGGGCCTTGGGGGCTTGCAGAGCTCCCAGGACCAGCCTGTGTGTTTCTGCACCAAGCCCCTGGCCGCACGGGAGGCCGCCGAGTCCTCAGTCTTCCCTAGGCACCCTGGCCATAAGGGCGTTTGAAAAACTTAAGTTGTCCGCGATGATCTCAGGAAGCATTAAGAGTCAGTATAAGAAATGCTGATGCTGGGGCTCTGGAACATTTGCCCATGGCCTGCAGCCCAGGTCTCACAGGATGAGAAAGGTTATTAGCAGAATTACCCCCGGACCTGGGGGAGGTCGGTGGACTCCTCCAACCTTCTTTTGCTCCTTATCTGGGGGTGATTCTTCATCTTCCGGGTATTCCTGGAATCCTAGGGAAAGGATGCAAAAACTTAGCCTTCAAGTCCCTTGCTCTACCCAGACTCCACTCGAGTGAGAGTCAGACGCGTTCGTTTGGTGTACCATATGGAATGCATTATTCACCTCCCTCCATAAGAAGAGTAGAGAAAGGCTCAGGGCACCCCTGTAGTCAACAAAGCTGAATTCCAGTCCTCACACACCGCTGATGGCCTGTGGGACACCATGGCCCACATAGTCTACCCAAAAGCTGGTAGTGAATGGCTAAGAGCTATAAATTCGGAGTCAAGGGTATCACAGAACCATGAAAACTATATGAAGGTGAGCAGAGGGAGGCTTTAATGACAAGGCAGTATATAAATGTAAGGAACTCTTAATTATAATAGAGCTGCTCTCGCCAAGAGACCCTCCCCCTACACACACACACGCACGCACGCACGCACAAGGAACTCTATGTATCATTGCTGCTTCCTCGGGTCCGTACGAGCGATACTACTTTAATAGGAGTCCTTTCTTCCATCAGTAGGTGACAGATACATTTATTGTCACTTTGTTGGACGTAACATTATCCTGAAATTCAACAGTTAACTCACTTTCCTTGAATTCTTTGCTTTCTGGTTTCCCCTTCTTTTCTAAGAGTCACAAAAGAAGAGGGAGAAAAAAACAAAGGCAACTGTCTAGGTAGAAGGCAAATGCAAACTTAATAGAAAATTTAAATTTTAAAACAGAAATGGGCATTTTAAAATTTAAAGTGAAGAAAGTTTCATTATTGCACTCCTATCTATGAAATGAATTTCTACCAAGTCCCTTCTTTTATGATGTGGGGGGGAATTGCCGTGAAGCTTGCAGCCAAGCATGGTGAAACCCAACCATCAGATAAGCATAGGGAGGGTTTGAGGGGAAGAGAATAGCAGCGATCTTACGGTAAGAACCTGTGAGTCATTGCCCTTCGCCTTCTCAGGAAAGAACAAATGTTCTTGCCACAGTGTTGGCTCATGTAGATACTTCCTGAGATCTCAGGGAATGCTGAGCCCAGAGAACTGACTGCTTCCTGAAGGTTCCCTAACCTGATCCATCACGTTAGACTTCAAAGTTGGCCCTAACCTATAGGATAGCTTGGGAAGACAGAGAGACATTTCCCATAAAGGTCCCTAGCTGTCCTCTTGAGTTTTCCATACTCAGTGCCATTCCTACCTTACCTTTAAGACTAAGCCTGGTTTTCTGACAAAACAATCTACCCAGACCTGGATGGCAGGTCTAGATAGTCCCACACACTCCAGAGGTACAAGGAGAGCCCAGAGCAAGGCCTTCCTGCCTCTAAACCCATGACGGGGTTGGATGTTAGCCAGGTAGCTCTATTCTTAGCTCAGGTTCCCAGCAACGCACAACTGACTGCTAACTTTTGCCGATACACTTGCCCTTGTTGCTCAAGGTAATGTTGTGGTTGGGTACCCAGGACAGGCACGGTCAGCCTCTCCATTTTGACAAAGGCGAGGAGGTGGAGATCAGAGGGCTTACATTGTGTATGTGGGTCACACATCCAGTGAGGGACAGGGATGGCCCTGGAATCCAGTTTCTAACCCTTGGTCTGAGGGTTCTCATTGGAACCCCACCTGACGAGTAGCACTCCATACAGAGAGAGTGTGACTTGCTTGAACAGTGAAGGAGCCAGATTATCCTCTGTGACTTCCATGGTCAAGATTGATAATTGGTACCTAGGAGATGGTAGGGGTAATAATATTCTCCATCAGAAACGTCTCATCCCTCTCTAGCTGTTTTAAATAATAAAGAGTTTGGAAATTAGAAACTTCAGGAGAAACTCCCATCGCTACAGAACTAATTACGTATGTAGAAGGTAGTCGTCCGTATCTCTTATTCTTAAAAATACAAAAAAAAAATCACTTCCTTAGTTATATGGACAATTTTGGGGTAAGAACTGAATCCTACTTAACATACTTTGGGCACTTCATAATTTATTAGTGCTGCTTATATTGTTAATTATAAGAAATAGTGGATTGTAGGAACATTAGTCCATGAAGCTCCGAGCTAGTACGTCTGGGAGATCTGGCTTCTTCTTTTTTCTGTGGCCACTCCTCATGGGAGCTTTTTTAAAAGCAGGAGACCTCAGGGGCACCTGGGTGGCTCAGTCGGCGAGGCATCCCACTGTGGATTTGGGCTGAGGGCATGAGATTGAGCCCTGGGCTGGGCTCCGGGCTCAGCAGGGGGGTCTGCTTGAGATTCTCTTCCTTTGCCCTTCCCTCCGCTGCTCGAGCTCTCTCTTTCTCTCTCTCTAAAATAAATAAATACATAAATAAAAGCTTTTAAAAAATGAAATCAGGAAACCTCAGTAAAGTAAAAAGGTTGCTCTCTACTTTAGTGGTTGGATGGATGAAGTTGCCAAATGGGCTATTAATCGTTGACTCTGTGATTTTTGTTTTGTTTTGTTCTTAGTATGGTGGTGAGGGGTAACTCGACCATCAGTTAGTGCTCTGCTAATTAGCTACCATGGCCCTCCTCAACCCCACCCCTTAAAAAAAAAATAAAGGACCACCTACCCGAATTGGCCATTGTTTCGTCCTGAGGTTATTAAATAAAGAAAGCTCCTAGAGATTTTCATTAGAAAGAAACGAAGGAAATGATTTTCTTCGGTAAACAGTGCTGGGAAAATGCTTCTCCAGCAGATCACGGAGGTGGGAAGGTATAGAACTGGCGTCTGGTAATAGACAAAGCCATGATGTCAGAAGGCTGAGTGTTATTCCAAGCCGTATTTAAGAAAACAATACTCTTGGCGCTTTGCAGTGTTCTCCAGCTTTTGTAAGTAACGCTGCTGAGGCGTGGCCAGGGCTAAATTGGTAGGGCTGATCCCAGGCTGGTTAGTCAGTTCACAGCTAAGAGGGTCCTGAATCCCAGTTATGTTCTTTGCTGGGATTGGCACCAGATCCAGTCTGAAGGAGGAAGGGAAGAAGATGGGCTAACCAGAGGGCAGGAGGGAAGCTTGAAACTCTGGCACCTCGAGCAGGACACCTGGGAGGGCTGGTCTCTCATCAGTGGCTCCCAGAAACGCCCTTGACCTAGAACTTGGCCAAGGTTCAGAGGATTTCCCTTCGAAATCCTCAACTCTCTAGGGGCACCTGAGTGAGTGTGAGGTCCCGAAAGTCACGGTCCACAGCAGAGGCTCCCCACCCCCGACCCCATCCCAGAAGCTCTCAGCCAGTGAGGGTTCTCGTTAATGAGCCGTTGTCACCCCAGCTCTTCCTGTCACTATCATATCGGGAGCACCTGACCCAATGGGGGCAGCCCGGCTTCCAAAGCTGCAAGCTTGCGGGATCTGAGGAGGACGTGGTGTGTGGGTCGGTCAGGTCCCGGAGAAACCTGGATCGTGATGTCCTGGCCGTCTGAAGTGGACTTGGAACGGTCTCCGCTCTCTGCTGTGTGTTCAGAGCAGCTGTTCAGCAGCTGCCTTGTTCCACCTCCGCGGTGGGTGGAAAGACCCCACTGTCTGTTTATGGCAGAGCGGAAAGGGCCCCGGGATAAAATGTCTTGAATAAACATCGGATATTGGGATTATTTTGACTCCCTGTAATGAAGCACATTATTACGAGCCCAGCGCTGAGGCTTCCCGGCAGAGAGGAGTGCACTTAACAATGACTCTTCATGCCCAGCTCCTCCCCCGTTGCAGCTCCCCCCTCCCCCCCCCACCCCACCCTGGATGAGGAGGCTGCAAGCCAACGAGGGGCCCAGTTTGCCCACAGAGCTGGTTGGGGTGCTTGCTGTGTGCCTAGCCCTGCGCTCCCCACACCATGGCCTCTTAGAATTGACTCAATGCCACGTTTTGTGTCCTTCCCTTTGTTTACAATTGGAGGGTGGGTTGGCAGCGAAGAAGCTGATCATACAGATGCAGAGTTTATGTAGTAATTTTCTTAGCGGAGAGCAGAATGCTAGATGGATCCGATCTATGGATTAATCTTCCACAAGTACCCATGGGGTAGAAAGAAGGTGATCGTGACCCTGTTTCTTGTTACCGAGAGGGAAACTGGCACCCAGATACATCCTTACACAGCCAGACACCCACCTAGTGGCTCTTCTGAGCCTCACCGTACCCTTTGAGGTGGGTACCGCCCGACCCTGCCGTTTCACAAATAAGGGAGACAAGTCCCAGAGAGGTTAAGTAACTTTCCGAGGTCTCACAGCAAAGTGAGTCCCAGAGGCAGCATCTGTCTGCAGGCCATCCTGGCCCCTGTCACCCACTCTGCTGTGTTCATGAGCACGAGGGACTCCATCTGCATCCTGCTGGACAAGACCATACGGGCTGCTGGCCTGGCTCAAGGCTAGGAATGATTGAGTCCCTTCCCACAGATGAATAAAATGAGGCCCTGAGTAGTGAACGGCTTTGCTCAGACACTCACGGAGGTGGCCTCAAAGTCCAGGCCTCTCAGTCCCAGTGTAGACACAGCCTGGTGGATACGTCTGCCTAGGTATCTTTGGCCACCAACCTGGAAGGATTTCTTCTAGAGCTGAGGAGTGACTGTGTCGTCGTTACTGCGTTCCTGACAGACAGGAGAGGCTTTGCGCTGTAAGGAGGGTGGCGATGTGGTATTACCATTAACGAGAGTGTTTCTGGGATTGGTATTAAGTTGGAGCCCTTTGAGTCCCTAGTTCTTCGTCAAAGACTGCCTGACTGTTTCGTTACAAATCTACTACAGTTTTATAATGTTGCCATCAGTTCACCCGTGACTAGATATTTCCAACTGACGGCTCTGCTGAGGCAAGCAGACTTGAGATGCTGAGTAATCGTCACCACGAGGAAGGCCAGTGGTGTTCAGAGGAGCAAGTTTGGGCCCTGAGAAAGGACAGAAGTCCCCAGCTTGGGTTAGGAGGCGTTCAGGCCCAGGCTCTCCGGCTGCTCCCTTTTTTGCTGCGTGCTTTAGGAAAAAGCCTCCCCTCTCCCTGGGCTTTACTCACCTGGGTTTATTCGCCTGGAGAATAGGAGAGGGACAAAGTGATCTTTAACCTCACCTCCTGAGCGGATGGCTTGTGGGTGTAATGGAGAGTGTGCCCTTCTGCGGGGATGGCTCCTAAATCCCCCGGCACGTTGATGTCATTCCCGCAAGGCCTCTGAGGACAGATTTCCAGTTTGTGCTGTGGAGATAGTGGGTCTTCAAGAGGTCAACAGAGGTGGGAGTTCTCGTGATAACACTGAAAGGAGGCATAGGTGGATGTGATGTCTCTCAGAAGGATTAGCCTTAATTTCCTGATTCCATTCTTTTGGCTGATCACGCGGCCCCAGATGGACATGTGGAGGTTCTGCTGTATCAGAGATAATGAGCAGGGTAGACGTTCATGCCGTGTCTGACCCCAAGCTCTCTTCAGCTGTTAACATTGGGGTGAAGGGTTGTGGGGTGTGTTTTACACTGGGATTCACATTCTCCCCTTCCACTGTAGTGAAATCATGCAAAAAAAGACGATTAAGACTTCTCTTTACCCTTCTAGAAAAATCTCAGTTGTGGCCAAAGTTAGAGTCAAGCAGGATGCAAGGCATTTTCAGGCCAGGCACTTCTTTTGTCCCTCCGATGTGACAAAACCCCCACAGACTAGCTGGCGTGTCTCCACGTGGGTGAGCCTCTAGGAAAGCCCATGCGGCCCTCTGTCCAGGCCCGGACCCTCCCCACGCGCCGGCGTTTACTGTCCTGCCGTTCCAGGCGTGCAACGAGTTTACCACCCACGTGATGAACCTTCTGCGGGAGCAGAGCCGGACCAGGCCCATCTCCCCGAAGGAGATCGAGCGGATGGTCAGCATCATTCACCGCAAGTTCAGCTCCATCCAGATGCAGCTCAAACAGAGCACGTGCGAGGCCGTCATGATCCTGCGCTCCCGGTTTCTGGACGCGCGGTGAGTCACCCGATAGAGCCTCCCGCCCCCTGGGGGGATCCCGGCTGCAGGGTTGGGACCCACACTTGGCCCTCTCTAGAAGCTGCTTTTTCACTATGTCATAGGCCGGGTGGAAGCTCGGCCCGCACAAGCTTCTAGGGAGTCTGGGAGGGAGGCTGCAGGACGACTGCCCAAGCCACTGGTTTTAGACCGCTCCAAACAGGAAACGGGGTGATGAGAGAGGACACGTTCTCTTGCCCCGGCTGCTCACTCTGAGTGAGAAGCAGGCATGAGTGAGCGGGGTGAGAGCAAAGGCAGCGTTCTCGTCCCGCTCTGTACCCCTTTTCCTGGTGTGTGTTGGAGCTCCGGGCTGTGCTGGGCTCTCTGGATGCTGCAGGGACCCACACTTTCCAGAAAGATGGTGTGGTTTGAGACCTGAGGTCTTTTCCACACTGCAGACAGGTGGAGGGTGCACTGAGTTCAGCTCAACGAGTGTTTGCAAGTAGATCATCATGTGGCATCCTCTGGGCTAAGTTTCAGGAGCACAAAGATGAATAGGGCCTGGTCCCACAGGCCCCGAGGAGCAGGGGCTGGTCTGCTAGGCACCAAATTTTCAATCAAGGTTTGATGTTTTCCATCTGGCATTGGTACTCATGAACTCACAGAATTCAGTCGAAGAAACTGGATAGAAAGTTCCTCAGGATGCTTGGGCGGTTCAGTTGGTGACGCATCTGCCTTCTGCTCAGTCACAATCCAGGGGGTCCTGGGGTCGTGAGTCCTGCATTGGGCCCCTTGCTCAGCGGGGAGCCTGCTTCTCCCTCTCCCTCTGCCCTTCTCCCCTGATCATGCTCTCTCTCTCTCTCTCTCTCTCTCTCTCTGACAAATAAAATACTTTAAAGAAAAAGAGGTCATCTTAAAGTTAAAAACTGAGAACAGAGAACCAATAATCAGTTCTTGGCCCATACTCTCTAGACCAGTGGATTGATCCAGATCCCTCCAGTTTCTTTAATTTCTGCTAGGCAGCCTGCAAGTTGGTCATAATCATGTCTTTCATATACCTGAGAGGAGGGTTTTGATCATTGATCTAGCAGACATGTGGACGCGTGGACATGTGATCTAGCAGGGTGTGGACGTCCTTCGCCATCAACCACCGTCTCAGATTAGCCAGCTTCTATACATGCAGGTTTCACCATTCATTACTCCAATTCCTAATAATCATTCCAGGCTCTGGTTTTAGTTATTAGAACTGCACACGTGTCAACGTTGTGTGCCATTTCATGATCTACAGTTTTGTCCCTTTTCAACGAGATGGAAAGATTCACTGCTCCTTGTACAAGTTGTTTACCCCCAAACTCATGCATTATTCAGCTCTCTTACCTGTATTTCTCTCTGTTCACAGCTCTGGTTGTTGCAATCCACAGAACTTTAAAACTCCCTGGCATCTCCTAAACTCCCTTTTTATTCAGTGTGTTTTGGGTCACATGGAATATGAGATGAGAGTACCAGCTAGCAAGGTGTATCGCGGGCCACCAGAATTACATAGGGCACATCAAGAGAAAGTTCACACAAAGAGGGCTTTTTCCTGCTAGGTGTGGTGATGATGGGGGAGGCAGTCTCCCTGAAGCAGGGCCTCCATGCATCTCCCTCGCCTCAGGGCCTGCTGCCAACCCAGCTTCTTGAAAGCAAGCTGAGTGCAGAGCGCAAGTGCCTGGTGGCCTCTGTCTGGGTCCTTTGCCCGTGCAGCAGCCACCGCCCCTCTGCGTGTGTTGCTTCCATCCCCATGGCAACTCCCCTAGTTAAAATTCTGGAGTTGGTATTTATGTGGGTAGATATTGAAAAAATAGAAAAGTGGGGCCTAGACTGGATTCTCATCCAGAGAGAACCCCAGGGAGAAGGGAGAGGCGGAGTCACCGTCTTGCTGCATTTCCGCTCGTGGTAACTGTGCTGTGTGTAGAGGAAGGTCAGGCTCAGAACTGGGTGAGCTTTGCACACGTTCCTGCTGCTTCCACCAGTCCTCGCCTAGGTGGTTCTGGCTGGCGTCAGAGGGACAATCACTTACGAGAGGGTCTCTTTGCCACTTTGCTTGCAGCCTTTGAGTCAGTGCCTCTAAGCCAAGGCTCCAAATTAAAACAACTAAGCTGTTGTCAGTGTTACCAGAATTTATTTTGAGGATCTATTTGGTATCATTGAAAGAGTATAACTCCCAATGCCAGCCCGAGGCTGAGCAAATGGCTTTCTGAGCTTGGAACAGAAATGTTTACCCAGACCTCATGGCTGGGGTGGTTCCTGTCATTGCTTCCAGGCTCTGTGGTTGGAGAGGAGCTCAACAAGCCAACCTCCCAGACCCGCCCATAGCCACGTGCATCTGGTGGGCGGGGCTTCATCGGTGAAAGATTTGGTGGAAGACAAGTGAAATACAAGGGGAGTTAGACTTAGTAAAAGGATTAGTCTTTGTAGTGTCACGGGTATGTCCTTGTCTCCGTTTCCTGTTGCGGTAACAGATTACTGCAAATCTGCAAAATTAAAACAACACAAAGATATTAATGAAACAGTTTCTGTGATTTGGGTGTCTGGGCCCAGTTGAACGGGATCCTCTGCCCTAGCCTTGCAAAGCTCTAATCCCGATGTCAGGGGAGGCCGTGATCTCACCATTGGGAGGCTCAGGTTCCTCCCCACTCTGGGCAGAATTCAGTTCCTTGTGGTTGTGGGACTGAGGTCCTCAGCTCCCAGAAGCCACTCCCTCCCTGACCAGCTCACGGCTTGGTTGCTTGCTTTGTTCCTGGAAGCCAACAAGAGAATCTAACCATTTTAAGGCTTTAGCCTGATCTCCCTAAACACAGGATGGACATCCTTTCTTTGTCACAGCCCCACCCATGCTCCAGGGAGGGCGGCGATGCCAGGCTGGAGTCTGATACCTTCTTAAGATTCCACTTTCTGTACTCCTCAGCTGAGCACTTGATCCAGGTTTGTCCGTTGGAGTCCTACTCTTTCTCTTCCTTACATTGACTTAATTGTGCCAGAAAAAAAAAGCCATCCATCCATTCCTTCATTCATTTGACACTTACTGTCCCATGCTGTGGACCGAACATTGGGTTCTCCAACTTGGTAAAGTTTTCGTCAGGACCACCAACACCATTTTCTCAGTCGAAAGTGGGAGGGAGAACTTGCAAACACCCTTAATGATTTTCAAGCAATAATTTGGGCTTCTGTTCAATAACATTTTCCCGGAGACAACAATAAGAGGATTAAACAGCTGGGAGGACACCTCTGCGTTTCACCCCAAGGGAGGGATTACGTTAAACAAAGCAGTAAAGTGGAAGGCAGGCAACAAGAGAGAAGGACATGCGGCAAGGCCTGGGCCTACTGGCCGGCATTTAGATTGACGTATCTCGTTGAGTTTTACTCTCTGCTGGATGCTGGAGTAGCCACTGGAATCACTAAGAGGGAAAAAAAAAAACACATTAAATGTGAGTCTTACCACCAAGGAGCTCACAGTGGTGTGGGACAAACAGACACTCTTACGAGGGAACACAAAATGGCGCATTCCTGGTGAAGTACTCCCACCACCTCCACGCCTGAGCGGGAGGCAGAACGCAGGAGAGGGCAGACAGTTTAGGATCCCAGAGCCAGCCTGGTGTTTGCCAGACAGAGAGACGACGGTGGGCAAAGTGAAACAACGTAAGCCAACATCAACAAGCATTACTTCGCTGGAATCCTTACTATGTGTGAGGCGCTAGGGTTTCAAAGATGAGTGACATGTGGCTCCCACCCTCGAGGAATGTGGTGTGTAGCTGGGGAGACCTGGGTAAACCTGTGGCAAATGCTGTGGGAGAGAAATACATGGGTTGGTGGGAAGAGGCACAGCAGTGTAAAAGTCACGAGTGTCCTTGGGGCATGGAGAAGCTAGCATATGCCGTGGCTAGACGAAATCGTGCAGAGCATGTTTAGGACTGGGGGGAATGAGGCACTGGGGACAGGACAGGTCCACTGAAGACCCTTAACTATACCGGTGAAGACTTCGGATTTGCCCTGAGAAGTAGCAAAAATCATTAGAACTCTTTAAGAAGGGAAGACAGTCCTTTAGAGTGTAAGTTCTGCCACTGCCCGCTCAAATTCAAATTCTGGCAACCTCTGTAAGGCAGGTTAAGTGGCCCCAGGACTTTGTCTGTAAAATGGGGCTAATCCCATATGCAGGAATAAATAAGATAATATGAAGAAAAAAAGAACTTAGGATAGTGTCTGGAATATGGTATTCATGCCATAATTCACACAGTGCTTCCTTATATATTAAGGAATACCACCTTATGTTATTTATTATTTTATTTATCATATTTATATTTATATTTTATTATTATTATTACTGTTACTATTATTAGTGACATGATCAGATCCATGGCTTGAGAGAATTACTCTAATGCTTTTTTTTGAAGATGAGCTGAATGGGACAAGAGACGCGGTAGGACCCCACAGTTAAAGCCTGTGCCCCTCAAACTGGGTGAATACAGAATAAGTATGAAGTACCTTCCCCGTTTTACTCAAATATGCAGGGGAAGATCATTTTTCTTTAAGGTAAACATTGGTACATTACAGAATAGATGAAAGCAAGGGGTTTGAGAGACATTTCATGCCCTTGATGGTGCATGACATGGCTGTGAGTTCACACCTTCCAGAAAGTGTTTCTGGAACGCATTGGTCTAGAGTTGCACTGTCTAGTAAGTGGCTATTTGATTTTTAAATTTAAATTAATTTTAACTGAATTACATTGAAATCAGTAAAATTTCAGAATTTGCCACTCCGGTTACACCAGCTCCGTTTGAGCAGCTCAGTGGCCACAGGCAGACTCATGGCTGCTAGACTGGGCAGCAGATATCTAGAACATTACCTCTCATTGCCAAAAGTGCCACCGTGAAACCCTAGCCAGACTGTTACATGATAGACAGTGGCTTCTCTGAACCCATTTCAAAAATAGAGCAACAATAGGCTGGAATAGAATAGAACTGGCAGGACTTGCTGTGGGGCCCATCATCTGATGAAGGTAAGACAGCAGGAAGGGATGAGAACCACCCCTGGGTTCTGGTACCTGCTAGGTCCTCACATGTTGGAATGAATGAATGAACAAATTACATATGCGGAACCGTGTCTGTGGTAACGCAGGGAAGGAAGACAATAGAGCTGGTCTGGGTGAAACGCGATGCCAGTTTTGGAGACATGGGGTGTGTTTGAAGTGCCTGGGGAGTGCAGTGGGAGACAGGCAGCGACTCTTAGGAGAGTGGACAGGGCAGGGGGTAACACATCTGGTATTTAGCAACTGTGCCTGTGGCGCCTGCTCCGCCCACTCTGGACTCACCTTGATTCAAAAGGTTTCATTCCTAAAATGCCGCATTTATCCAGTACGTATTTATCCATCCGCTCCACCTCCACATTCTTTACATTAAAAACCCAGATACCCAACTCCCACGGCTTTTGATGGGCTCAGAGTCACAAATGTTAACTCACCAAGCTGATCCCACTTCCAGCCAAAGCCAGGTGTCTAGCTCAAAGAACCTTCCCATCAGAAGTGATTCATTTGCACTAGGTTTTCTGAAGTCTGAAAAGTCCTGATCTTGGGATTTCCAAGGCCCTCCGTGGAGACAGCCACTGAGAGTGGTGATAAGGAAGCCCATCAGAGTGAATGAGACCACCTAGGGAAGGTTGCACATCACTGTGAGAAGAGAGTCGGGACCAGCGTGTCTGCCCCAGCCCCATATCACCAGCTCGTTCCAGGGAGGCTTCCTTTGAGCTCAGTTGGAAGACTCCCAAGAAATACAGTGGGATGCTAATGCAGACAGCTGAATGAATGAACCAAGGTTCTCCCAATTAAGGGAGCCTTCAGGGTCCAGTTCCCCAGGCCCAAGACAACTGTTTTATTTAGGCAGAGAAGCCAGAGGTTATCTAAAGCCTGGAGCCCACGTTAGCCACTTGGCTATCTTCCCCAAATTCCCAACAGGCAAGGACTTTTAACAAATGCCTATTTTTTGAGTTGGGCTTTTTTTTTTTTTTTTTAAATCTATTCCATCCAATTTCTGATGCTGGGTGACCCAGAAACTCAGCATGATTTGGAAAAGTGACTTGGGCTTGGCATAGTCTGGACAGATGTGGTTAATACCTATGGACAGATGGTGTTCATCCGGTAAAATCAGGCACTTTATTGTGTTAATTAATCCAAGTGGGACCCTGAAAATACAATATTAGCTGAATTTCTTGTCTAGCAAGGCTGCTCCGTGTTTTCTGTTGGGCTAAATCGGGAAATCCTGTGTCCTGGCATAACCAAGGATGTTCTGGAAATCTCTTCCATAAGGAAAACGCTTTTGATAAAAGCAAGAAGGGCAAAGTGCTAAAAGAGCTGATTTAAAGATCCAGTCTCCCGCCTCAAGGAGGTCCAGCCAGCCTCTGCTGTGAGCCTGGCATCCCCAAATAGCTCCCCCAACCTGCCTACGGGCCTTAGCTATGAGGAGGCAGTCAAGTGATTCTCACTTTAAATTAGTTCAATTAGCACTTTAAAAAAAAAAAATGCTTTTATTCAAAACGTGGTTCTCTTCCTTTCAGCAACCTGTGTATTAAAGAGATTTCGGTGGGCTTTTGTTTTACCATTTAGCAGCTGTTCTAGCTTGAAAAGTGCTCCTTGTCTCCTTCTGAGGGAGGTCGCACAGTCCAGTGGGCCAGTGTCCGTGCCTTGCACACCCTCTTCCCCAGATGCCTTTAGAAAATGCTGCATGCATTTACCTGGGAATGGAATAAAAGGAATAAAAGGAAAATAATAACTTATTTTTAACTTAAGGCTCCAGAGTCTGTAATTTCCAGGAGGTACCTAAGAGCGAGGTACCTAAGAGCGAGGTTGGGTTTTGTAGTTAGGCGCACCGGAACTCATACCTTGGTTCTATGACACGCAGGCTGAATGACCCTTGGACTCCATTCTTCATTGGGAAATGGGAAGAACCGTAGCTCTCTTACAAGTTGTACAAAATGAATAATTTGAATTGATTGCTCTAAAGGGTGAGGTCTGAAGCCTGGAGCCTGGTAGAAAGAAAGACTGTCACCCAGCATTCGCCACATACCGGGCACCGCACAGAGTACCCTCCACATATGGCCTCATTTTCCAGTTACCATCACTCTGCTAGACCAGCGTGACTGTCCACTCTCGGCTGAAGAAGCTGGGGCTTAGAGAGGCGTCCCTCTCCAAGGACTCAACACCAAGGTGGCTGAGTTTTGAAACTCCATGTTCCTCTCCACCCGGGGCAAGTATTAGTGACTGTTCTGGTCAGTGCCCCATGATGCACAGTCTGTCTTTAACAGATACTTGCAGTAATGGCTTGACATCCACCCCCTTGGTGCAAATTTCCTCTAATCCACGTTTTTGCTCAAAAATTTGCCTTTTCACAGAAGTAGGTCCTCGTCTCTCCCTTTTTACATCTATTAGCTGTGAATGTTTTTTGTCATTCTTTTCCTTCTCCTTATGAAGGCGGAAGAGACGGAATTTCAACAAGCAAGCGACGGAAATCCTGAATGAATATTTCTATTCCCATCTCAGCAACCCTTACCCCAGTGAGGAAGCCAAAGAGGAGTTAGCCAAGAAGTGTGGCATCACAGTGTCCCAGGTAAGGAGCCCTCCAAAGACCTGCTAGCCTGGGCCTGGTGGAGCCACATGGCAGCGTCTTGGAGGTTTTGCTTTACTGAGCTTTTATGCCTTGCAAGGTCCATTTGCTAAAACCTAACATGTCAAGGTAAGCACTCGATGTGTTTAAATGGGAGAGTTTCTAGTAAGTACCTGGACAAACTTGAGAGGGGCCAGCCGGAGTGGGAGAAGTAGATTCCGGTAGCCAAACAGGGATAGGGTTCTTCCCATTGAATGCCCCGTTGCTTCAAAAATGGGTCAAGGTTCTTGGCTGTCCTTGGAAAGTATCCACATTTCTCATACTGTTTTCTCAAACACAGTCCATCCCTTAGCCCATCTTGCGCTCAACCCAGGACAGAGTCAGTGAGTGGAACTTTTCAATGAAAGGGACTCAAATGTCTCCTCTTGACGTGCTCGCTCTGAAACTGACAGAGTGTGGGGATTTTAACATGTCACTATGATTGCATTGGAACGGTTGCGCAAAATGTCACTGAGTGCCCCTTTTCCCCAAAGAGTGATAACCGTAACAGGTGCCTGTTGACATGGAAAGGTACATGGTAAAACATTTTTATTGACCTGGAGTCTTCAGCATTAGCATGAAGTAGAAAAGTAGGCGATATTTACACGTATGTATATTTCGTGTACTCAAGGGATCCATCCAGAACTTTTTTCATCTGAACCTCAAATACCATCCCTAGTCTCTAGTTGAGAACAGTAATGATAGTTCTGAAAGCTGTCAGAGAAGAGGAAGTCCTGCCGATACACGTCTCCTGCAAGAGAACTCTGTGTACTGGCATTTCCATAACAGGGGTGGGAGAAGGCGGGAAAGAAGCCTACTCTAGTGAGAAACTTTGCTTAGCATTTTGCAAGCAAACTCCATGCTGTTTTGTATCAACTGAGCATTTGTGCTTCCTTGACTTGAATCCTGGCTTCTCTTACTCCCTACTCGGTGCTAATCCCATCAATCGGTGCTTAACTAAGCCCAGTTAGGTCCATTCAGAATACAGACCTCTACACAGAGTATGTGCAATGAAGGGCTCTCCAGGGCCTGCCCAACAAGCTGTGGGAGATTTGGTAGAAGCCTTGGAAACACCAACCCTTGCAACTCCGATCTTCCTCAGGTACTTTGACCCAAGTGAAGGTTGTTCCAGTCTTAACTGTAGGAAAACAGAACATGAGTGGTCAAACTCAGGTCACCTGGTTTTGTCTGGGTCTCTACCCATTCTTGTCCAACTTTAGATCCCTTGTCCACAAGGAAAGGCATTTTCTGGTTTCTGATATTTGTTGCATGTTTGCGGAATGGTTGCGGGCAGGAACCATATCACTAACTGACCATCAGTAAATTTGATATGTGGAATCTTCTGCTTCTGTAGTAGAATTAAATCACTAGACTGTCTGACTTCTAATTCTGGGATTTGGAATTCTAAATCCCTATTGATGGTAGAATGAACTCTTCTGGAGCTAGTCTGTATTATATCTAGATCAAAGATGGAATCCTGGCCTGTTCCAGCAACTGTCACTTCCTTTGTTAGGGAAACCCAGGTGCACATAATTTGTCCATTAAAATGAATATTTACATACTGTATCACCTTTCCCTTTGCTTCACCCACCCTAAGGCCACACCATTCTTCCTTCCCCAGTACATTACTCCCTCCCAACAACAACGGAGCTGTTCCACTCTTGCCAGACAAGTCCCCGTGGGAGACAAGACAGTATGATGTGATACAATAATAAGAGTGTTTTTCTAGGAGCATGTTTTTGTCGAGTCAACTGTGAGATTTTAGGGAACTCCCTCTTGTCGGGTCTTAGTCATCCCATCTGCCAGTCATGGTTTGTTGGACCATATGATTTATTAAATCTCCCTTAAGTTCCCAAATCTAGGGGATCCCAGTTTTGGACTTTTTAAATTTTGCCATTTTGGGGCTGTCTCTTTCCTTCTTATTCTTTGGGCTTTTGTTGTTGTTGTTGTCATTTTGGGGGGTTAATAATTACCCCTCCCCCTGATCTTGGGGCATCTAGGTGGTTCAGTCAGTTAAGTATCTAACTCTTGGTTTCGGCTCAGGTCATGATCTCATTATCATGAGATCAAGCCCCATGTCAGGCTCCACGTTCATCGGGGAATCAGCACGAAAGAGTCTCTCCCTTTGCCCCTCCCCCCATGCGTGCTCACACGCTCTCTCTCTCTCTCTCTTTCAAAATAAATGATCTTTAAAAAAAAAAATAATCCCTCCATCTTGAAATTCTCCTACTTTGGCTTCCTTGATACTGTTCTCTGTGGAGTTTCCTTCTTTCTCTTGGGCCACTTTTGCTTGGGCTTAGAGGATCTACTGTCTCTACCTACCCTAGAAATACCATTTTTTTTCTTTAGCCCTCATTTCTTCAGGCCTATCCCCATGGTTCTTAACCATTTTTTTTATACTACAGGTTCTTTCAAAATCTACTTACTGTCGATTCCTCCCATGATACAAAACAAAAATGTGCAGATACCCCAAAATCCATCTGTAGACCAGCCTCTCCTCTGATCCCTCAGTAGTCCTTCCACTCTATACTCGTTCTGCTTGGAGTGTGGTCTACAGAAGGCAACCTTAGCAGTTGCTGGGAGCTGGCTCGAAATGTAAATTCTTAGGTTGGACCCCGGTCCTGAGTCAGAATTAAGGGAGGATGGGGGGAATCTGTGTGAACAATCTCTCCACGCACACTCAATTTGGAAAAGGACTATCCTGCACACTCGCTCTGAGTGATCTCTTCTCTGCTTATCGCTGCAGGTGTACCTTTATTTGAATACTCAGATGAGACTTCTAGGACACCAAGCTCGTGTGTCTTCCTTCCCACTGGACTTTGCCATCGCTCTGCCCAAGCTCTTCAACCTTAACGTGTTTGAAATGTGATCAGACTCTCCCCAGAGAACCGATTATTTTTTCTGTATCACCTGTCTCAGACTGTGTCTGTCCTGTGTGTGTCCCTAGTGCCTAGCACACAGTAGACCCTCCATGACTGTGAACAGCAAGTTAACCATTGAAAGCACTGATTACGTACATGGTTCAGGGCATCCCAGTATCACCTTGTGGGCCATGTAGGGAATGCCTGAACTGACTACACATCTTGTCCACCCATTGGTTCTTCTTGTTGAGAAGGGAATCACTCCCACAAAACATTTCTTCTCCTCTTTTCACGTAGCTTATTTAACTAGACCTCAGGCATTTCTTTCCTTCCCCAAAAGTCCTCCCAGATGACCTTCATCTTTCCCCCTTTTTTCCAATGCACCCAGTTACCTTAGAAAAGTCTTGCTGCCTCTTTTCCTCTCCCTCATATAGATAGTGAAGGTTATACTAAGGAAAGCATGAGTTTGGGAATGGAATTAGATATGCTATGGTCCTAAGATGGCCCCAGAGAGCCCTTCCTCTCCCGTAGGCACCAACATTGACAATGAATCAAGCAATTTGTCACTGAAATTTTTTCCTCTCATTTACTAATACTGCAGTGGTATGGTTTGGTTTTGATAACAGAGGCTTAACTTTTCTCCCATAGCAGAAGCCACACAGGCAAAGGAGGGCTTACCTTGTGAGATTTTTAAGTTTTGCTAATGCGTTTCAAAGGTAACTACAGTTTTGCAAAAATGTCCTTTATCCGCCATTGTTTGGGTTAATAGAACGTACACGTCAGCAGTGGTACCTGTGTTATCAACTTCCTCTTCTGTCACCAGATTCATAGTTTGTTTTGTAATTTTTATTAAAAAAAAAAACCACACACATTTTAGTTTGAAATCACATCTGGAACTTGGGGTATAGAACGTACCTCATAAGGCAGGAATGACAGGGGTAACACTTGAATTTCGCTACGTCGCCTCTTGTGTCTGACCAGCGGTCTTGGTATAAAGGGAATGGGGATGCGGAGTCAAGCCAGGATAGCTCCTGTGAGTCACATGAAGGAAATAAATTAACAAATGAAAGTAAATTAGAGGGGCGCCTGGGTGGCTCAGTGGGCTAAAGCCTCTGCCTTCGGCTCAGATCATGATCCCAGGATCCTGGGATCGAGTCCCGCATCGGGCTCTCTGCTGCGTGGGGAGCCTGCTTCCTCCTCTCTCCCTGCCTGCTTCTCTGCCTACTTGTGATCTCTGTCAAATAAATAAATGAAATATTAAAAAAAAAAAAAAGAAAGTTAATTAGGTTTATTTTGTGTGTTGGCTTTAACATTTAAAGCTTGGGATTCCAAGGACTAATCTCTGCTATGCTTCAGTTTTTCCTTGTGTAGCTAACCCCAAGCTTTGCACAAAATTCTTGGTGAAATCTATCTGATGGAATTATCTGGATCCTAAGGTCTGTAGTACCTGTGGCTAAGAATGTGGTCCATGTTAGCGTTCTTCAGCTTGTAAAAATGTGAAATTAATCCCTCAGTGAGAGCACCTGTATGTTGATACAGACCTGTATGGATGATTACAAGTCTGTGCCTCTTGGTTACTCAAAGTCAGTGTTAGCATCAATAAGGAACATTTCTCCTGAACGCTGTGTTTATTTTCGGGTCATATTCTTAGGAGGTAACCCAATTTAAAATGCTCGTCCTAAACTAAAATTGTCCGAATCCAAATGAGCAGGTCTTCCGTAGGACGGTTCGCTGCATTATTTTTGCTAAATGGTGTTGTCTTAAGCAGGAGAATCGCATTACATGCAATGGCCCCTCTCGGTGCCCTTCCTTTAGATCTCATTGTTGTTGCAAAATCAGAGTAGGATCAGCCTGGTAGCCTGCCTCCAGCCCTCCCCTGATGCCTTAATTTTCCTCTGAGATGTTTGCACAGGACGGAATATTAACATTCTCCTCTTCTCTTAAACTGCTCTAGGTATCAAACTGGTTTGGAAATAAGCGAATCCGGTACAAGAAGAACATAGGTAAATTTCAAGAGGAAGCCAATATTTATGCCGCCAAAACGGCTGTCACTGCTACCAATGTGTCAGCCCATGGAAGCCAAGCTAACTCACCCTCGACTCCTAACTCAGCTGGTTAGTTTTTCTCTTTGATTTGGGGGGATCGTGCTCCATTTTTATACTTGCTTTCCCTACATTGGGGTTTTCTTTTCATTCCTCAGGTTTCCAATTGGTTGACTTATGTATTTGATTGTCCTTTTTGTTGTTGATGCCACTTTGGGTTTTTCCTTTCATTTCCAAAGAGCAGCGTGTTTTACTGTTCATAAGACGGGCTTGTCTGGAGGTCTGCACCAATGTGTCTGTTTAAGTTGGACAGACCTAAATTGGTTGGTTTTGAGGAGAGAGGACCTTCACATTCTCCTTTCAAAGATGACAATGAGCTAGCTCTAATACTTGGACACAGTCCCTTGAGGGCTCTGGCCTTTCGTCTGTTTCACATAAAGTTTTTATCCTTGTCTATTTTGCTATTCCCATCACATACTGTTTGGGTGACCTACTAGCCTACATTCTCTGCAGGAATATTCCTCATTGTAATGCTTTGGTCTACAAAGCCAGACTGGGGTTACTGCTCAACATTGTTTAGAATTGTTTTTCTTCACTGTTTTATTTTGCTGGTTTCTTTATGCAAACTACAAAGAAAATTGCCAGTCATTAATTCACATTATTCAGATTCCAGTTTCCCCATTGTAGTATTATTAGTCGTGTGCTCTGCCCCTGGTTTTATTTCAGTGAATGTGCATTACATCACTAACTTCAGAGTTTAGGCTAACATAATATATTTTGGGGTTTGCCTCCTACCACCAGTTCTGAATTTCCACACATGAAAAAAAAAATAAAAACCATAATCAATAATACATAAAATATAACCTTAGTATCTGTATGCTGTGGAAGGCATGTTGGTACTTTTGTTGTTGTTGTTGTTGGTAAGGGAAACCCAGAAGTGCTTCCTTATTAAATAATGTTGGTCTCAGATTATTCTCACATTATTCATTATAATGAACCACTGCACTGATTTTGGGGGTGGGACACATATCTAAGAAGACCAATGCCTCCAACTTGAAGGGTCACAAATTTAAATGTGCTTGACTGTAAGATGATTAAAAATCTAATTTCTAACATTTCTGGGAGGTGCCTTTGACCCCTGAAGCTTGTTTGTTCACTAAAATAAATTCTCTCTCTACCTTATGGTGGATTGTTACTGGAGATCTATAAGGCTCCACACACTAACGTCTTCTGTGAGCTTCTAGAGGCCCTAATTTGTTCTAAGTTTCTCTAAGCCAGTGGGCTATATCTCCATGCCTCCTTTTGTTCAAATGGAATCATGCACAAAGAGTGGCCTGGGCTTTGTAAGCATGGACGTGGTAAGACAGTGTAGAATTCGATCTAGTTATGTATTTTTCCCAGCACACCAGGTTGAACAACTCTGAAGAGCCTTTTTACTTTTCGAGGTTTGTGTGTGTCTATTTCCTTCTTTCCCCTTCATGGCATGATTGACAAAGGATCAAGGCTAAGAGGTTCAGTAACCAAAGACTTTCCTTCTTCCCCATCTGGTCAACTCTTAAGCATTTCAGTCTCCGGCCAGCAACACTCGTTGAATCACCCTGCTATCCAGACATGTTCACTTGTCTCTGGTAGAAGTACAGTCCTGTCAGCATTAGCAAAAACACACTCACCACTCCTGCAAAGGTTATCATAATGCAAAACAGATATCAAAATGACTTTTTCCCGTTGCGGATAGATCTGCATTGCAGATGGTTGAGCGTGATTTATGACTAGTCCCTAGAAGGGCCCTGTGGACCCCCTTCATTACTAAAGCTGTAACTTTTTATTCTTTTCTAAAGATCTTAAAAAGAGAAAAGTAAGCATTTTAACCCCACCCCCACTCTGTTTAAGAATTATGTTGGCTCTCTTGGAATGTCAGTCAATGATTACAGTTTTCTAAAGAATTTTTCTGCTAGCTTAAGCTTAGATGACTATTCTAAGCACCAAGTAAATTATTATGGAAAATTGGAGCTAAGCCTTTCAGTTGTGCTTAAGTTGTTGGAAATAATATGCAGAGGAACCCCTTTGTAGTGCTTTTTTTTTTTTTCAGTAGAGACAAAAGAAAATACTATTGTATATGTGCAATAGCGTGGGAGTTTCATTCATCAACTTTTTTACAGGAAAAGTTATACACAGGCTTTTCTGTATTTTCCTTTGCTGCTATCACAGCTCAGAGCACTGCAGAGATAAAGTGAGAATTTTAAAGTGTTCAAACTTTTCACACAGGGTGCTTAGGAAGTCACATACTAGCTCCTAGATAACGCCGAAGGATAGAGAGTCATTGAAATAGACACAAGTTTTAAATAAGAGGTTAATATGTGAAGATATAATTTGGCTGAGTTTGAAATTTAAGAGTTCTGGAAACTGGGAACTTTTTATATCTTTAATATTGAAACAGGGCCCTCCCCCAACCCAAAGCTTTACTAAATTTACATTACTCATTTCTGTTGCAAAAAGGATACTTGGCAAGTAAATCTTCTTCCCTCCAGAGGCTTTTGTGTGGACAAGCACTTCTTCAGTGGGTTTATTTAGGTCATTTGTGAATATTCCTGGTTGTGGATAGATGCCTGATCTCCTATTTCCTCAAGCATAACTCATTAAAATCACTTGGGGTGAGGACCCATGGGGGACGAGCAAGCAGGTAGAGAGGCACCCGGCATGCTTCATATTTGACATCAGCAGAGTCGAGCAGAATGCCTGGAACAAAGAGAAAGAATAGAAGGAAAAGAAGAAAATTACGTTTTCTGGGGGAAGAAAAAAAAGCAAAAATGGGGACCATCTGAAGCAATCATTATAACCTTGGGTCCATACTTCCGGAATTACCTAGAGGGATCCATTCTCATGTCTATTTTTTATGAGATAAGAAAAGCAGGAATAAGATCTCAGAAAAACGGGGCCCCTTTTGGAAGGTCAGGTTATCAGCATCCAGGAAGGAAGAAGTTGGCTTGTGCCTTGCAGATGTTTGCTGTGGCAAACAGCATCAGCGTTGACAATTGATTAGATTCTGTGATTAGCGAAGCAATCCCAGGCTTATTGAGGCTCAGGACTCCCTCCCCCATCTGGAATCTTTTTTTGCTGGCTCTGTGTGTGTGTGTATGTGTGTGTGTGTTTTCAAGGACGGCAGGCTCAGCCATGAAAGTTCTTCCTCTGACACTATATAGTTAATGGCAAGCCCTTGTACATATCTGTTACACCCCTAATAGAAGGTTTGGTGTTTTCTGGATTGGGGGAAGATGTCATATTAAACCCCCTAGATTCTGGCTCCCTAAGAGAAGTTTATGTATGTAATACACACCATTAAGAAGGAGGTAACACACCTAGGGAGGCTGACTGACACTTAGTAAATCCGTAGGAACTCTTGGAATTTTTTTTTTTTTAAACCAAATGAAAGAATGAATGCCATGGATGTTTTCTACTGTGTTCTTTCTTCTCTTAATTTCTCGGTAGAAAATGAAAACACAGCCTGCCGGAATTGGAACGCTAGAACCTTGCCACGTGTACCTTCTGAAGGGGTTTCCCATCAAACCAGACAGCCTTTCTCTCTTGTGCCTTGTCCTGGGTAGAAAGCAACAGTGATTTTTGGAGTTTAGAAGGGGAATAATCATGGAAAATAGAGAAGCAAGCCCGAGACATAATGAAGTCATGTCTAGCAAAGAGGCCCCATCTTTTGAGCCTCCAAGTGGTGTAGAAAGTCTAGTCTAACCGGCTGCCCCCTGATCTCTTGGGAGCCTTGATTTCAAAACTGCAACAGGAAGCCGTATTTGCCATACATCTGCTTCATAAAAACACTCTGAGGAATAACACGCCAATACTTGTAAACCCTTCGAGTTCCTCAGTAAGAAAAAGTAACGCCTCTCTTATTCTGCGTCATTGGTTCTCAACAGGGCAAACTTGTACCTCAGGGAACATTCGGTCATGTTTAGAGACATTTGGCTGTCAGGGTTTTGGGAGGCGGGTACTGCTGGCTTCTGGTGACTAGAGGCTAGGGAGATGGAAGACCGTCATCCTACGGCACATAGAACATTCCTCCACCATGAGCCCATTTCCAGCCCCAGATATCAATAGTGCCAGTGTCCGGAAACCTTGCTCTAAGTTTAGATTTTATCATTAGTATTCTGGGTTTTTGGGGAGAGGATACAGTGAATTGTTGTTCTATTTTTTGTTCCCCCCTCTGAACAAACTGAAGTCTCCTGAAGACTCTTTAGAGTAGAAATGCAGCCTTCGGAAAACGATCTTAGGGAAATGGATGTTAACTCATCTCCCTGTCATCATACTTGCCGGCGCCCGGGCATTAGAATCCATAGGTGATCCATTATGTCCTGTCTGTCTAGTGGAGGGCGGGCTCCGCTCTGTACGTGCCCCCGATATCTGGGTGACAGCTTACATGGGACACGTGCCTCCCTTCCCACTCCAAACTCAGAACCTTTTAACTGGCAAGCACATCTTAAAATGTGCCTTCTGGTAATTGCGGATTACTTTCCAGCCACCTGCCCCTGAGGTTCTTGAAGGACCTTCTCCACAAGCCAGGTCATTCTGTGGGAGTTCTTTGAGACTTTGTGGCACCTCCAAGACAGCCTGTTCACTCTCTGTCAAGGATACCTCCTTCTCAGGAAGTTGTCCGTTCTGTGCTGTTTCTTTCTCCCTTCCAGTGCCCGATGAAGAACATGTCTTTTCCTCATTTCGAGTTTTGTGTGGGCTTCTGTCTGCTCTCTTGTGGTGTGCGTGGCCCCTGGCCTCTTCTCAGAGCCAGCCCTGCTTCTAGATACTTCTCAGAGAGTTGGAAGATGTGGTCGTGTAGTACATGGCTACACAGGGACAACAAAATGCCAGAAGAGCAGACAGAGGCAAGAGCAAGGGAGTGATTCCTGCAATTACTCTGAATCAAGTGCATCTGTATGTGAAGGCCATTGATATGTTCATATTTATTTATCTCTATGTACATTAGGTAGCCAGACATATTTATAATTTATCTATGCACATATATTTTTTAAATCATCTGTGTCTGTTACAGCGAGTATCTTGTAAATGGCATATCCCCTACCTTTATGGTTCCATGGACGTCATGTTCCTTGGCGCCAGCACTACCCTTTGGGGGTTTCTCCCATTTCTTGGGCTGGGTGGTCATTTCCAATAAACCATCAGCCAGGCATAAGGATCATGGGTTTATTACATGGTACTTGATTGGGAGAGAAAGAAAGAATGTATCTGGGCATCAAACTGAACACTCTTGTGGGAGGGAGGAGGGCAAAAAAATTATGATATTATATAAACAATTATAATTTGGGGTCCTGGAGCTGACTACTCCTGTTCTGATGCCATCTAAATATGAGCGTGTGTGGTAAATGATGGCAAAATGGCTCTTATTATTTAGGTTGTAGCTCTGATGGAAAGAAAGTTTGAGAAGGATATAGGTAGGACATGCAGGCCGGGGAATTATGTGATCTGTTCCATACCCTGCTTCAGCCACCTGTTGGGGAGATTGGCACCACATTACTGAAAGAAACTTCCAGAACAGGCTGCCCTGCCTGGTCAGACCTTGTGCCTCTTTGGCTCAGGACCCCAGTTGTCTACTTCTGTGCAGATAAGCTAAACTGAGAAATGCATGCCCAATGAGACAAGACATGTTCCAGAGCTTTGGAGACGTCGTAGTCCTCCAGATGGCACTCGAGTCGTCCTCCTGTCCCCCCAGAAAAAGCATTCCCTTCTTCCCACAACAAGAGCGAGTAGGGAATCAACTTATGTAGCTCAAGAGCTAGCTAGTGCTTGTGTGGGGATGAACATCCCCAAAACAAAGAAAAACAGAGAAGTTTCCTACCTTGAGGATCCCCCCAAGTGAACCATTTGTTTTTTTCAAAATTGCACCCTCCTTAGACGTATGAGGATCCTATGAGCAGTTCAGCATAGAGCAGAGTGACAGAGTACAGGAAAAGCTTTCTCTTGAGCTCCAGGAGACAGCCCTCTAGGAGAGCGCAATTCCCTACCTTGGGAGATTAAGAAAGCGTCAGAGCTGGGGCATCATTGCTGGGTGATCCCAAGTGGATGATGGCTGTCAAATGTGAGGACAAGAGTGCGATTCGAGCAGGACAGAGTTGGAAATAGAGTGGAACTGACCTGGGTCCCTAAGGTCTCTCCTTTTCTAGGCTAACGTCATGTTTTAACCAAACCTTGCACGTTGAGCTTTCTTTCCTAATGCGCTGAGCTGCACGATGACTTCAGAATAATAAGAAGCTTCTCCACACCCACGTGTTAAGGCCGAGGGTGGGCCGGGTTTACCATAGTGCCACCTGGGTGCTGCCTAAAGGCTAACTGTGTGGGAGAAGGCTTCTTCTCTGGGAGGTGAAGAAGCAGATGGTTGACTGTTCCTCTTGAGGCCCAATTTATTATTATCTTAAGTGTTATTATTAGCATTTCCTATTTCATGCATGCTTCGGAATTCCCAGCCCATTATTCTGTTTCACGTTCCTCCATAATAGCAGGTGCCAAGGGAAGACGTCACCATCCTCACATCTTCTTGTAGTCCTTGAGGCTCTCTTGGGCTGCTTGCTACCCAGCCAGAAGCTTGACCTCCTTTCTAGAGATCAGAAATGTCAGTGGACTCCCATCCCATGGCCAGCCCTAATGTGTGGCATTATCTTCACTCCCCACGCTCCCTCACCAGGGCTGCTTCCCATGTGAGGGCAGATGGGTTGGCAACAGCATATCTGGAAACCAGCCGAATAGCTTATGCGCGCCATCTTGGTGGCAGAAGTACCATCCGTTGACTAGTCCGTATCCTTCAGCTTGTGCTCCCCTGGCAACCCCTAGAATTTTACGGGCATGAAAGAGAGGTCCTGGAGACCATTTCCAATTCAAATAGACTAAATTAAGAAGAATACATGCGAATAAATATTCCCTGTCTCAGCTTGAAGTTGTTAAGGGGACACAGTCCTATTGGCAACTCGCAGTAAGACGTGGCTTCACGTAACATGAACGATATGCACCCTTTATTGCTTGCTCTGTTCTTCATGCTACTAACCAGACTCTGTGGATGTTATTTTTATTTTAGTGTTTATTTGGGAGGGGTTGCTTTGCATGTCATTCTTCCTCTTGGCTGTTAGTTGCAGGGGTTGAGCCTTTTCCTTTCTGTGATTCAGGTGCCTCACTCTTTCCTTTCCAGGTTCTTCCAGTTCTTTTAACATGTCAAACTCTGGAGATTTGTTCATGGGCGTGCAGTCACTCAATGGGGACTCTTACCAAGGGGCCCAGGTTGGAGCCAACGTGCAGTCACAGGTAGGGACCCAGCCAATGTGCCACCAGCTGAATGCATTGGAGTCCAAGAGCCCTCGGTCATCTTGGCACTTGCCAGTTCTGTTCAGAGAGAGAGGAGAGAGTGAGAGAGAGGGTGAGAGAGGGAGATAGAGCGAGGAAGAGAGAGAAAGGGGGAGAGAGAGAGAGGGAAAATGTAGAAATAAAGTCTTGCCAACGACCAAACCAAACCAAACCAAAGACAACCATGGTCATGGGAAGTCTCGTCCACACTTTGTGAATGCATTTGGCTCTGACTTGTCAGCCACAATGGGAAAGCAGGAGAGGAGCGAGCTCAGGGTGAAGTGACCGAGGCCCGCCGGGCACGTGGAAGCAGTGGATTCTTTCTTCGCTGAAGGGAAAGGGAGGAGGAGTTCAGTCCACTGTCTCCCGTTGCAGGCCCCCCTCTTGCTTGCGGGTTTCCCACACTCCATATTAGCCAGATAAGGAGGTGACTGATGAGTAGGCAAATACCTTTGTATCTTCTGTTTTCATTTCAAGCTTTACAAACACCCGAGCAGGTTGACTAAACTCATCTTCTCAATCATCCTTGAGGTCATAGGACTTGGGTTTCTGGTCATGAGTTGGGGCCCACGTTGGGAAGCAAAAATCCGGTCATGTGGTGTAAACCCTCGGTGCCCATTAGCGAACAGCCTGTCTTCACTACATCCCAGGAAGCCACCGTACTGTCTCAGCACAGAGCCTGCGGGAGAGGGTCAAGTCGAATGCTCTGGGTCAGAATGGCTAGGGAAGTTCTGACCCCCGTTAGCCCAGTCTCACACCCTGCCTGCGGAACAGGAAGCACCTCACGCCTGGAAGAGACCACCTGGCCAGTGATTCAGGAAACACAGCCTAGGGACAAGTGTGAAGAGCCGTGGTCAGACTGGTCGAGTGATCTTACAGCTGGCCATCACCTGGGTCCTCGCAAGGACAGTGTCAGTCACATACCGCTCTCTCTGGGAGGTGGCTGCCCAGGCCCCCTGCAGACAGAGCCTGGACTTCTGTAGACGACCAGCGGAGGAGAAGCGAAGTAGGGTGGTCCCTACAGGGGTGGGGGGTCCTTCACTCTGTCCCCCATCCCCTACCGTCTCCTGCAGCACTGGGGGTTAGTCTCAGTGGTGGGAATCCCAGGTGCCTTGGACCTCGTTTCCATCTTGCTGACCAAACTCAGAAAGGAGAACGGATTTGGCAGATAGAGAGGCCGGCCTCCTCCTACCAGACCCCTCTGGGGAAGGATACCTCGGCCAGGATTGTGTACATTTTGGCACGCCCACACGGCCGCCCGCGCGCGATGCTGCTCTGCCTCCCTTCCCCTGCATCTCCCTGACTAATCTCCTCTCTGTTGTTGTTCGTCCGTTTAGGTGGATACCCTTCGCCATGTTATCAGCCAGACAGGAGGATACAGTGACGGACTCGCAGCCAGTCAGATGTACAGTCCGCAGGGCATCAGTGTAAGAAAACAAGGCCCCCCCCACCCTTTGTTTTTATTCTATCATAACCAATTATTTCAAAGCCATAGGGCTCGGAATGCCACTTAGTAGGACTTCTCTTAGCTTTACGGTCACCTAGTTTCTCGTGTCTGTATCGGCCACGCCATCGGCAGCGTTCTCCCCGCACAAAAAGTGGCGACCAGGCAGGCTTCATGCAGGCAGCTGGCGTCGAGGGCTGTCACACCCGATCAGTGTTCTCATGGCACCTGCGGCCACTCGCATTCAGCTGAGAGGAGCCGCTGAACAGGTGACACCTAGCACAACGGTGGTCGGAAATGTCACCACAAGCTGGGGCCTGGGGACCCTGGGCAGAAAAACCAGTAGCCCAAAAGCCACTGCATCCAGGTCTGTGGTCTGAAAAAGCACCTTTCTCCAGTCTGTCTAAGGACAAAAACAAGAAAGAAATTAACACAGAGGCTGGGGATGGGGAAGGGATGGGGAGGGGCGCAGACCATCTTCTCCTCGTTCTTGGGCGCGCTGGCGGCTTCTGACTAGCATGAAAATTCATAGCGACAAGCTGTGTCGCACAGAGTGAAATCGATCAGACAGACACAAGGAGAACCGAATGTAGATTTGGGACAGCAATCCAACTTGATTTCTCAGATCAATCGTCCGCTATCTCAGCAGCGGTGACAGCAAGCGAGGACAAGAGACTGCCTGGACAAGGAAGCTGTCCTTTAGATCAGGGGTCATTTCCTGGGCTTTTAGAGGTTGCAGGAGGTTCCAGTAGAACCGTTGGCTCAGAACTATGGAAGAAAACTGTGGTTGACTGGTGGCGATGCTTTTTTTGTTGTTTGTTTCTGGTGTTACGATTCAAAGGAATTGGGGTGGGTTGAAGGAACGGTAGGCCTGATGTGTCAAATGTCATCCTGGTCTATACTAACTGAGCTGTGGTGTCTGCACTGGGGGAGGTGATGTCTCCTTTAGCCCTGCATTGGTCAACTCAGACACAACTAAGGTGAGACTGGAAGGAATCAACAGAACACCAGCAGGTTCATCACAAGGAATGGTTGGAAGAGTTGGGAATTCTTAGCCCGTAAATGAGAAGACGTGGGTGGTATATAGTAGTTTTAGACATGTTATTTGTGAGAAAGATTGGATTTGTCATGAGTGAGCTAAATGGGCCAAGGATAGGAGCCAGTAGAAGATTCAGAGAAACACATCTCACTTCGACCTTTGATGGGCCTTTCTTCTAGTGAGAGTTGTCCAGAGAAGGGATTGGCTGCCTCTGGAAGTCGAGAACTCCCCATCCATCAGGGCGTTCAAACATGGTGGCATAGCTAGCTGCTCAGTCAGGATGTCGGAGAGGAGACTCAAGTACCAGGTCAGAAGTATCTTGGTGACTTTTTAAGGCCCCTGCCACTTAGAAGCGCCTTATTTTCTACCTCTTTTAGGCAGAATCCCCTCTGAATTTGTATGGTATTTATCAAGTCTCTCTCTGGCAGGAGATGGAGGAGGTCAAAGAGGACCCTGTTGAATGTAGTCTAGGCAATCACTTTTCCAGATAGGATTTCCAGAGCAGAGGCATTCTTCTCTTCTTGTGCTTATGCTAATTATAATTACCATGTTAATGGCTGACTTGCTGGAAACCTGCTTAGAAAAACCTTACAAGATACTGTAGTAGAGAAGTATGTTCTCAAAAACAGACAAAAATGAGGTTGCTCTGTGCTTGTCTGTGTGTGTGTGTGTGGTGGGGGAGAGGTGGTTTCAAGCACATAAGCATTTATGCATTTTCTGAGTCTTTTTGAGATACATCTTCTATCTCAAAAGATTTTTCCAGAAAAAGCTTTGCTCTGTATAAGTGGAAGACAAGAACATGAGGAAAATACCAGAGTGTGGGGATGAGACCAGGAGCCACAGAAAGTCTATGCGAGTGGGTGGGAAATGGGCTTACGGTTCTGCTTCCTTATTGGGTAGTGGAGGAGAGGGTGGCACTCAGACTCTGGGGGGTCAACACTGACCCCTCTGACACTGTCGGGTGGGCTGGGAATCATTTCTAAAAGAGTGTAACCAAACATGTGCAGACAATTATGTCTGATTACATAATCTTACCACAGAAACTGGGCTTGAAAATGCCACTCGAAAGACTCTCTCATTGTGTGTTCATTTTTTTTTCCCCTGAGAACGGTGTTTATTTGATTCCTGGGTCTTTAGTAAGCAGGGTAAATGATTCAAAGGCTGATGGTGATATGATAAGTTCCTTGGGTGTCCATTTTAAATTTTTAAATTGTGCCACCTGCAGGAGACCAAGCTTGTTAGAGCGAGCTGTGATTTTAGACAGTGATGTTCAACGTGGACGCACCTGGCTCTGGCTGCCAGGAGAAGAAAGAGAGAGGGAAGGAGGGAGACAAGAGGAGACAAGGGCAGGAATGAAAGTTTCAAGCCAAGAAATAAAAATAAACAATTCCTAAACCCAAGGCAGCAATGGAATTCCCAGCTGGACTCTGGATTGTGTTTCACTCGGTAGAGGCCATTTTCTGGGCAGCCATTATCTGCTCGCCTGGCTGGGTTTTCATAGCACCCATATCTTATCCAACCAGTGTCTTTTTTCAATCCCATAAAGTTCAGACCCCTTACTTGCCTTTCACCGAGCCCACATGGTGAACGCATGGAAGGTTGGGAAGAGCTGGGAGACTCCAGTCCCGGTCACTCTCGTGTGTCTGTGGGTACGCATTGTACCTCTCTTCCGTAAAATGGGGCCTGTAATTCCCAGGCTTAATCCCTCAAAGGCTGCTTTAGGGAAAATGAGAAAATAAGTAGGAAAGGGCTTGGCAAAGCAGAAATCGTTCCACATGAATGCAGTATGAAATGTTATAAGCGGTAACTTTCTAATTTGACCTTTTTTCTCCTCGTGTGTGAGCAGTTTTCACAGTAGACAGTTCCTAGTGAGTATTGGTTAGGACACGGTTGTCACTTTTTTCTCTTCTGATGGAAAGATACGCTTTCGACAAGGATGTAGAGTTGTACAAGTCTTAAACACCCCCTTGCGTAGCGGCGGCAAGCGTTCAATTATACATCCGTAAGTCCGTAGTGCTCTTGGACGACAATGGGCAGTACTTACCAGGTTAGAGTGGCTCTGAGTAACGGAGGGAGGTTATTTCACTCCCCTGTCAATCAGACAGACTTAGATCACTCAGCTTTCACATTCATTCTCTTTCCTTTCTCACTGCCACTGACCTAGTTCTAGAATAGTTCATTGGCTTGGCCATTGTGATCATTTTCTCATTACCGTTATGACTTCAGTGTCTCCTTTCTTCTGCACACACCCTCTGAATTAGGCCATTCCTTGCCTAGAAATCACCAGCACCTGTCTGTTGCCTACCTAAGCAAGCTCAAATGCCAGGTCTGACACTCAGAGTCTTTCACACCCTGGTCCCAACCTATCTGTCCTTCTACCTCACCCTCCTGACATCCAGGTAAAATCTGGGTGCTGGACAACATGGTCAGTTCGCCCCTACCTGATTGCGCACATCCCCCTTACATTTGCGCCTGGCTGCCAGATATCTCTGTAAATGTCCTTCATTCCTGTGCCACCTTCCCCATGCCTCCCCACTCTCAAAATCATACTTTCGCTCCCACAGCCAGTTCTTCCTTGCTGCCTGGGTTATCCTCCTAAGCCCTTCTTCTCTGCTTCTCTCTGCTTTATCACACATACGCTTCTCTTACATTACAGGTATGTGAACAGACAGAACTTAGTTGGTCTTCATGTCTTCCACTCTCGTATATTTCCTAACTGTTTCCTAAATGCCTGTATTAGTTGCTCAGAACATGTTGACTGATGAATAAATCAGGTAGGAGAAGACAAGCTGCCATTGAATTTAGACAGTGTATTTATTTAGTAACCAATAGGCACATCTTATATAACAGTAAACTATCTGGAAATTATCTTTATTTTAAATGCTTTATTAATCCACGGATATATCATGTTTCTAATTCAAAAAGTTTTTTACGTCTTCCTTTTTGTAAGAGATTTTATTTATGTATTTATGGGGGGAGGGCAGAGGAGGAGGGACTCCCCAGTGAGCGCAAAGCCCAACACGGGACTCGATCCCATGACTCCAAGATCATGACCTGAGCCAAAACTAAGAATCAGATACTCAACTATCTGAGCCACAGACTCCCCGGTGAGTGCAAAGCCCAACACGGAACTCGATCCCATGACTCTGAGATCATGACCTGAGCCAAAACTAAGAATCAGATGCTCAGCTGCCTGAGCCACAGACTCCCCAGTGAGCGCAAAGCCCAACACGGGACTCGATCCCATGACTCCAAGATCATGACCTGAGCCAAAACTAAGAATCAGGTGCTCAACTGTCTGAGCCACAGACTCCCCAGTGAGCACAAAGCCCAACACGGGACTTGATCCCATGATTCTGAGATCATGGCCTGAGCCAAAACTAAGAATCAGATGCTCAACTGACTGAGCCACCCAGGTGCCCTAGGTCTTCTTTTTTATAAAAAGTTTCTAAACTTTCTGGCTGGTGCAGATTTTCTGAGAATCTGATTCAAATCAGCGTTAGATACCTGAAATTATATAGTGGTGATATTGCCAAGAGAATGATCCCTTTGAATTCTGCAGAACTCCTCCTGTCCTAAAAAGAATCCCTGTGTCAACACCTATTTGTATGATACCATCCATACAACTGTATAACATTGTTTCCACCAGATGTTCGACTGGAACCTTCATGGCCAAACTCATGGGAGGTAGAGGCAACTAGAAACCAGGAAACATAATGCCTTCCTGTGCCTTTTCTTTTGATAAGTCCTGTCACCTCTGTATTTTTGCTTCATCTGTGAAATTTACCAGAGAAGCAAGCTGTAAGTTCCCTTCCAGCTGGATAGTCCTAGAGTGGAGATCGAGAGTTCTAGATCTAAATCTAGAGATCCACAAGGACCATCTTTGATTCTTTGCTGTCTGCCCCAGAGACACTAGACTCAAGTGTAGACTGCACTCCCTGGAG